GCTCATCGATGCGAATCCATTGATCTTAAGTGAGTGGAGATGTTGATGTCAATGTAGGAGTAACAGTTGATGTAGAATATACAATTGATATATCATTTGAGGGGAATTTGATGGTGGGTTGAACATATCCTCATATTCCAAAGGCATAAAGATTATACGACAATGTGAATGCCTGTGCAGCATAGATTTCAACAACTTGGAGTTGAACATCAATTGTTGAAAAATTGAACAATCTGTTCTTGTCCATGTAAGGTCAAAAAATTGATGTTTGATTGATTTCTTGTTTTAAGAAATAGGTCCAATCACTTGGTATGAATCCCTTACAATCACTCACTCTTGATAACAGAGGAAGAAAAGATTAATTGGACTTCTCTTTTGTATAAAAGTGGGTTCTTGATAGCAAAAAGATGCTTCTCTCAATGCTTAAGCCGATATTGCTTCTCGTTGACGATCAGAACAAGATCACAAAAGCTTCTGATGGTGGCTTAAATCACGAGAATGCAGACACTGGTCTCTCTTCACATGATAGCCCAAGATCTTTCCCAAAAAAGGTCCCCTCTTCATAGCCGCTCATGGCTGTTTATAAGGTTTCAGCACGTAACCGACGTACTAAAATTGTGGATGGAGGGCGCAAGTGCCTCCTTCAATTTATCTCATGTTGGTTACTAGGGCGTAACGTGCTCCTGAAGTTTAGCCCACGTGGCTGACTAGGTCTTCGGAGCCGTTACAGCTGGATCTCCCGCGGATGACAAGCCTCGCTGCATGGCGAGGTTCATCTGATTGGACGAGCCTCAATTTGCAACGAGCTTCATCTTCTAAGGCCAACTTTTCAGTATAGCGAACTCTGTTTTTACTGACGTCGTCTAACGAGCTTCGTATTCACTAACGAACTTCATCTTCGGTAGTTGAGTTCAACTGCGTAGTAAGTTTTATGAATTTCCTTTAGATGAGCCCCGTCTTCACTGACGAGCTTTAAGTCTGATGATGAGCTTTGTTTTCATTGACGAACTTCATCTCCAATGATGAACTCCGAACCTCATATCCAATGATGAGCTTTGAACCTCGTTTCTAATGACAAGCTTCATCTTTGATGTAAAGTCTCATTCCCAATGATGAGCTTCGCGACGCAGCGAAGCTCGTCTTTTGATGTCGAGCTTCGCTGCGACGCAGCGAAGCTCGTCTTTTGATGTCGAGCTTCGCTGCATGGCGAACCTCATCTTTTGATGTCGAGCTTCGCTACATGGCGAACCTCGTCTTTTGATGTTAAGTCTCGCTGCATGGCGAACCTCGTAGGCGAAGCTATCAGGCGAGCTTCAATCAGTTCAGGCGAGCTAAGTTGTCAGGCGAACTTAGCATTGCAGGTGAACTTTAATGTTCAGGCGAAGTCCAGTCTTGCAGGCGGACTTCAAAACATGCTATGAAGAACGTGTCATAACTTTCAAATCGTAAGTCGGAATTGGACGAATTATATATGAAAATCGACTATCCCGACGAGATGGAGCCAAACAAACCGATCCTAATAGGGTTCGGTTTGCTCTTGTTCTTTTTGCAAAATTCCTTATAGTTTGAGAGATATTAGCATTTGTTGTCAGTTTTGAGCTTATTTGCTAGGAATTAAGGCAATTTTTATTGCCTACAATCCATGATAAATGATCAATAGCCTTATGTGAAGAGGATGTGGTGGCCAATTGCTAGAATTGAGCGGCGGAGGACACACCGATGAGTTAAAGAGGTGGCCTTGGTCGAGACTGCCGGACATAGGCAACAAAGAGTGTGATTGGAAAATGCCTGATCTAACTGGGAGACTTCATCGAACACTTGGCGGGCGTGGAGTTTTCAAAATTTTGAGTGCAATAATAATAGGAAACTGCAGGGACATCGATGATGAATTGCAGCAATGACTAATTTTAGCAACAACAGTCATCGAGGCCAGCTAGGATCTCGACGGAGAGGTCAGCGTCAAGGCTGAGGTCTACGATGTGCTCTGAGGTCGACGAGGCAGAGGCACAAGTTGAGGAGGAAGCACAAGCCGACGAGGAGAGAGAGAGAGAGAGAGAGAGAGAGAGAGAGAGAGAGAGAGAGAGAGAGAGAGAGAGAGAGAGGGTTTGGCTATGATGAGTGGTTGATATTGAAGATGGGTATTTTGGATGGCTAGGATTGATTGGATGTAGAGGACTCTGATACCATGTTAATTAGAGACTAATAAAATATCGTATATATTGAATAGGTATGTACATCAATATATAGATACAAGCAAGAGTAATTATGGTATTGGAGAACTCATATACAACCAATATATATATCTTTCCTAAAATAATCAATATTGAAACCCACCAATATCAATAGATTTAAGTGTAATATTGTCGAATTCCCCTTCTAATAAGTGTTAATTATGTAAGTTAGTGATTTTTAGGTATGAACAATTACCCAAATCAACCATAATCAACATAGAAATTCACCAAAATCAATATATTTAAGTATAAGATTGCATAATCTCCCCCTCCCAAAAATGTTAATCATGGTCAAGTCTGGGGTTCTCAGATATGAGCAATTACCAAATTACACAAATCAGTCATAATCAAGATCGAAATCCACCAAATTTAGTAGATTTAAGTGCAATATTGCAACATCCCCTCACCTAAAAAATTTATTAATCATGGTCCACTCCGTGGTTATCAGGTGTGAATAATTACCCAAATCAACTGTAATCAACACCAAAATCCACCAGAATCAATAGACTTAAGTGTAATATTGCATACCCCGCACCCCACCCCCACCAAAAAAAACACACACACGGTCTGATTTTTAAATTATAAATTTGTGATATTTCAGCCTGATTTTGTTGATCGACGGGCCTGTTTTGATCCTCTTAGACTTTATACTAACCGCAAGCCCAATTATTGATTACACACGGTCGTGACCAAAAGGGCCGAGCTCCCATTACGGAATCATCATACGTATGATAATTTTAACGTAAGTTATCAGATGAACTTAGCATTGCAGGTGAACTTTAATGTTCAGGCGAAGTCCAGTCTTGCAGGCGGACTTCAAAACATGCTATGAAGAACGTGTCATAACTTTCAAATCGTAAGTCGGAATTGGACGAATTATATATGAAAATCGACTATCCCGACGAGATGGAGCCAAACAAACCGATCCTAATAGGGTTCGGTTTGCTCTTGTTCTTTTTGCAAAATTCCTTATAGTTTGAGAGATATTAGCATTTGTTGTCAGTTTTGAGCTTATTTGCTAGGAATTAAGGCAATTTTTATTGCCTACAATCCATGATAAATGATCAATAGCCTTATGTGAAGAGGATGTGGTGGCCAATTGCTAGAATTGAGCGGCGGAGGACACACCGATGAGTTAAAGAGGTGGCCTTGGTCGAGACTGCCGGACATAGGCAACAAAGAGTGTGATTGGAAAATGCCTGATCTAACTGGGAGACTTCATCGAACACTTGGCGGGCGTGGAGTTTTCAAAATTTTGAGTGCAATAATAATAGGAAACTGCAGGGACATCGATGATGAATTGCAGCAATGACTAATTTTAGCAACAACAGTCATCGAGGCCAGCTAGGATCTCGACGGAGAGGTCAGCGTCAAGGCTGAGGTCTACGATGTGCTCTGAGGTCGACGAGGCAGAGGCACAAGTTGAGGAGGAAGCACAAGCCGACGAGGAGAGAGAGAGAGAGAGAGAGAGAGAGAGAGAGAGAGAGAGAGAGAGAGAGAGAGAGAGGATCATAACAAAATCGGCTCTAATCTGACTCAGATTGATATGATCAGAGATGGCTTGGTGGCAATAGGATGGCCGGAGCTTGTGAGGATGAAGGATGTTTGAAGAGGAAGTTGAAGTTTTGGGTTTGGCTATGATGAGTGGTTGATATTGAAGATGGGTATTTTGGATGGCTAGGATTGATTGGATGTAGAGGACTCTGATACCATGTTAATTAGAGACTAATAAAATATCGTATATATTGAATAGGTATGTACATCAATATATAGATACAAGCAAGAGTAATTATGGTATTGGAGAACTCATATACAACCAATATATATATCTTTCCTAAAATAATCAATATTGAAACCCACCAATATCAATAGATTTAAGTGTAATATTGTCGAATTCCCCTTCTAATAAGTGTTAATTATGTAAGTTAGTGATTTTTAGGTATGAACAATTACCCAAATCAACCATAATCAACATAGAAATTCACCAAAATCAATATATTTAAGTATAAGATTGCATAATCTCCCCCTCCCAAAAATGTTAATCATGGTCAAGTCTGGGGTTCTCAGATATGAGCAATTACCAAATTACACAAATCAGTCATAATCAAGATCGAAATCCACCAAATTTAGTAGATTTAAGTGCAATATTGCAACATCCCCTCACCTAAAAAATTTATTAATCATGGTCCACTCCGTGGTTATCAGGTGTGAATAATTACCCAAATCAACTGTAATCAACACCAAAATCCACCAGAATCAATAGACTTAAGTGTAATATTGCATACCCCGCACCCCACCCCCACCAAAAAAAACACACACACGGTCTGATTTTTAAATTATAAATTTGTGATATTTCAGCCTGATTTTGTTGATCGACGGGCCTGTTTTGATCCTCTTAGACTTTATACTAACCGCAAGCCCAATTATTGATTACACACGGTCGTGACCAAAAGGGCCGAGCTCCCATTACGGAATCATCATACGTATGATAATTTTAACGGCTGAGGTTTTTCCCAAGGGTGACACTAGGGGCACACCCCCAACCACACCTCCAACCACACCCACTTTCTCATTTGCTACAGTACACCGGGCCCCTCATGAGATTTTAAAAATTTAAAATCATATGTGGAACCCGGTGTACTGTAGCAAATGAGAGAGGGTGTATGATTAGAGGTATGGTTGAGGGTGTGTCCCTATCATTTTCCTTTTTCCAAAACATCACGTGCTCACCACGTGCAAGCCCAACACCCCCCTCCCTATAAATGAACGACGGCTCGCTAGGGTTTCTCGAGGACCGCAGATCGTCGAGGCGTCGGAATTTCCCTCGCGAAGAGATGTCGACCGCCGGAGAACTCGCGTGCTCGTACGCCGCCATCATCCTCTACGACGACGGCATCCCCATCACGGTGCTCTTTCTTTCCTTCCCCCCACAATTTCAAGAATTAGGGTTTTCACGCGTTTTCACGGTTTGTACGGATTCTGCGTTGATTATTGGGTGATTAGGTCACTGGTAGATTTCGATGAGAAATGAAGATTCTAAAATCTTCGAGTTCTTCAAATTAAGTTCATGATTCTCTTCAGTGTAATGTAGGGAAGTGGGTGCTTCATCCGAAATATAATGATTGGGTTTTATGATTTTCGAACGGTTTGGTTGATGTTTTTGTTTTCTTAATGCAAAATAGGGAAGTAGGTGATGTTTGCACTCGTAAAGATTTGGTTTTTATGATTTTAAAGGTGGACTGTTTGGTGGTATATTTTAATTTTTATATGAAATTAAACTGTGTGTACTACTTAGGCTCACATTGACACGGAACAATGTACATGGCAGTAAACCATCTTGAGTTAAGAGTAAACATAGTTCAAATATATTTTTTTACCATGGCGTATGAGATACTTTTTAAGTACATTTAAATTATAAAATTATAAGTTAGTTTCTTGCCTTTTTACCATGACTTGTATGAGATATGAAGCGAATATTTGAGTGACATGTTTGATTATCGTTTTGCTCAAAAGACTCTAAATGAGATGAGTGGCAGGGAAAGGGGGTAAAAAGGTGGTGGGTCATTTCGAAGTTATAATGAATTAATAATTTTGTGTTATATAGAACGAAACTAAATTAACGTTAGACTTCTTTGCGATAATATTTTTAATTTTTTAATCAATATATGTAACATAATCTACTAGATTGAATGCTCTAGCAATCTAAAAATGTCCATAGCAACCAAAATTACAAACACTAAACCAAAAAAAACCAAAGAATGACACTCTGTGAAGCAAGGGAAGAAGTTCCTAAAAAACTTCAAAAATAAAAGAAACCAGTGTAAGTTTTTAGCGACATGGAAATTTAAGTGAGAGAGAGAGGTAGAGAGAGAGAGAGAGAGAGGTAGAGAGAGAGAGAGAGAGAGAGAGAGAGGGAAAGATCATACATCATTAACCTTTTTCTTTAAATGTTTTAAAACCAGTGTAAGTTATTAGCGATGAATGTTATCAGTGAAAGTCAGGTATTTATTCTATTAAATTGATGTTCCCAATTTGTCCATTTGCTTCAACAGCATTTATAATTTTTTCACTATAGCTCTCTACACTAAACCTAAGTTGTGCCTCAGCATGAGTTTCTAAAACAGTTTGAAGCAGAAGGTCATATAATATCAGAATATGTAGATAAGTTTGAACCAATAGAACAAAACTGAATTGAAAGAAATCCACTATAGTCTAAAGGAGAAGACAACTGCTTGTGAAACTGACTACATGTATCGATGCTAGCTTTGTGTGTGCTGTTGTCCTTATAGATTTTCCTTCTCGTAAATAATACTAAAATATTTTACTTTAAAGCAACCAAACTAGTATTTCACTTGGATTTAGGATTAGATGTATGTTCATCTTGATGCGACCTCATTTTGCATGCATTTTTCTTTTACTTAATTCTTTTAACTTGCTTCTGTTGCAGGCTGAGAAGATCACCACGTTAGTTAATGCTGTAAACGTGAAGATTGAGTCATATTGGCCTGGTTTATTTGCGAAGCTTTTTGAGAAAAAGAACATTGAAGACCTTATCCTCAATGTTGGATCTAGTAAAGACACAGTTACATGTTTTGCTTGCTCAATTTGTCTTGTGCAGCACTATCTTATGGATATTTTTTTCCTCTATTTTAGGTGGTGCTGCACTGGCTGCAGATGCTGCTGCTGCTGCTGCCCCAGCTGCCGAGGAAAAGAAGGTAACTTTTCTTCGACACCTTGTTTTGATCCTGCATCAAACCTCATAACACGAAGTAACAAGTCTCATAGCGCATGTTTTCAACACCGCTCCGATTGGATTAGTTTATTTGTATTTTACAGTCTAATTTTTTTGTGAAGTTTTAAGTTGTGGCTGAAGGAGCAGTGATTGTATTTTTTTTATTAGACTAATATAGTATATATACGGATTTTTCACGATTGTTACCATCACTTGATAGATATCAACTAAGTTATGTACTTCATCCTTTTGGATTTATGGCATATTACCGTATATCTAACTCTTATATTTATCGTCTTTTTATTTCAGGAGGAAACCAAGGAGAGTGATGATGAGGATATGGGTTTCAGTCTGTTTGATTAAATTATCCCAATTTCCATAGTTTTGTAAGCAGTTTGTTAGCAGTTATTTAGTTTCTAGTATAGTATGATCGAACTATCCGTGGTGAAGTATTTTCTAGTATAGACCTGCTTTTGGAATTTCTTATAATTTGGTTCCAGTTATATATACAAATTAGTGGGTTAATTTTGTTTTAGTCGTTATTTTACTTTTCTTTTGCTTTAATCTGCAGTGCTCATATATCCTGCAGATCTTGCTATTGTTGTTCAGCTCTCTATATTTTATTATTGGAGTTATTTGATGATTAAAATACGAGTAGTGATAACTATGGGCACGTTTGGGAGTCGAAGTGGTTTTCCCGACTCTGTTTTTTTGGGTTACAAAAATCGAAACAAACCTGTTTGCTATGACCTTCAATTGATGGTTATGATTATATAATCATCCCTTTGCTGTTGCAATCTTTTCGGTCCGTTTGCTATTGCTATTTTTTCGCTATTTTTTCGGTAGTGGAGAGGATTCAAATCGTTTGTTTTAGGCTACGACGTAACGTAGCCCAACAAAGTCCGCCTTTGCTCCGCCTGTAGTTGCCGTGCGTCCTTCCTCCACTTTCGAAGGTGTCCTCGCATTGGTAATTGCTGCCTGCCACAATCAGCTTCAGATAGGGGCTGTTTGGTTGTTGTTGGTAAAATTATGTATTTATGACATAACTTGGAAAGTTGTCCACCTCATCAATTTTACTTGTATACTTTTCTTTATTTGTTTTTGATTCCATTGGAATCATAAATTGCTTGTTTGGTTTGCAAATGTAACATTAATTGTTTGTTTGGAAAGTGTAAAAGATTGTCCCTACTCAAATGATCATATTGGTTAAAATTATTTTTTATTATTTTTTTCTAACTTCAATGTCAGCTTTCTCTTAAAATCATGTCTTTTTTTATGAAATCACTTTACAAGTCACATCAGCATATGAAATCACTTTACACTATTTTCACAACTACAAACAAACAATTAAAAGTGATGAAAGCTGACATTGGGACCCATTTTTTTATACTTTCCATCCTTTTACATGGTAAAAACATACAACCAAACAGCCCCATAGCGGCGGAATGGTTCATCCTTCTCCCATAATTGAAACCTATAACGTCTTATTTGGTACACGAATTAGATCTAGTGAGAATGGAGTGAAGCTAAGAATAGAATGAAATGAGTGTGAGGATAGAATTCTTATTTCCATTTTCATGTCCGGGTGCGATTAGATAATGAAGTGAGAATGAAAAATTATTTTATTTTTGGTATGGATAATTAATAAGAAATCGTTGCATGGTTCATATTAAACTTAATATTTCCATTCCCACTTTCCATTCCCACTTAAAGTGGGAATTCTACTCCCTATCAACTTAATGCTCATTCCCATAGTGAGATGAAGTGGAAATGGCCTTCTAGCTTCAAAAAAGTAGTCATGTTTGCTAAGCATGAGTAACAAGTGGGAATGAGATGTGAGAATGAACATTCTATTTCCACACATTTCTGCGTATCAAAGGTCCTTGTGATTTACAAGAAATGATTACATTTTCTTGTCTAGTAGACAAGAGTGCACTTTTTGTAATAGTTATCATTTTTCTTCAACTTTATTGTTAATGGAACATATCCAAATATAAGGCAGAAATACAATTTGAAGCTAGGTATCACTAATAAAAAGGAAAAATTGTGTCGAGGCCTTAAAAATCACAACTTGATGTGTTTCAGCCCTCAGTATTAATTCTATTATGTATTGGCCTCGAAAGTTGTATTTTACCCGAGTTCCCTATTTCACCCCTCTTTACCCACTAAAAGACTCCATCATCGCCCCATTCTCCCTCTCCCTAAATCTTCATTCCCTACCTTCAACGTCGGCATCATTGCTAACGTTGTTGCTCCTCTTCTCCTCCTCTCTCCTAACCCTAACCTTCACGGCTTCTCCTCCCTCCTCTCCTCCTCTGCTCTACTCTATCCACCTTTAAAAAATCGCATACTTGTATCTCAATTCAAGACCCAACATCTCAAACTTACATCATCCTCCTCTAGCTCCATGGTTGGCGTCGGCGTTGTTGCTCTTCCTCCTTCCCACCCTCCTTCCATTCCCCAAACCCTAACATCGACATCTCACTGGTGCCTTTCTTACAAACAGCATTAGTGGTAAGGGAGGTGAAGCCTTTGATAAGAAAAAATGAGACTGTTATAGGAGAGGGAGGAGGAGGAAGAGTTAAGGCTTTGAGGAGAAGCTATTCGATCGGGTTTAGGTTTGGGTTTGAAGCATGGAGCAGTATAGGGAGAGAGCTTTGGATGTTGGTATGGATTTGATTAAGTATTTAGGTGTGGATTTGATTTAAAAGTGTTTGCGAAGGAACTTGTAAAGAAGTGAAATTTATCATTCAGGGTAGTTCATGTCAAGAACATGTAGTCTGGATGATAGTTAGATGCAAGAAAGTTATTTGATAAAATGCCCAACAATAATTATTTTGTTAGTCAAATAGTTAAATGAACTACCTAAGGGAATTTGACCTAATATTTGGCCTAATAATAACCGAACTATTTATTAATTATTTGGTTCATTTCCAGCCCTACACATAGGTTACTCTTCTTTTAGATATGATTTAACGCAGCGTGCCACTCTAAGATATTCTTTTTCAACTTAGGTGGTTCTTTAATCCAAAAAATTAATAATGATAAACTAAGGGTAATCTGAGAAAAATTCGAGGATATATATACTTTGTAAGTATAAGCATTTCAAATATTGCAATTTAAAAAGGCCTAATTTACATGTTTTCGATTTAAGAGAAAATTGCAAGTGAGTGGGTTTAATAAATTATTAAACCTCAGTTTAACAAAAAAAAAATCTATTATGAGTTTTTGGGTTTCAGAAACCCCCTAAACTAATCACTAAAATAAAGTAACCTCTCCCAAGTTTTACTACCATATTTGGACTGATGTTGTGTCAACAGTGCTAGCTACTAAAATTTTAAGGACTTTTTGGCCCCTTAATTAACTAGTGCTGATCATTTTCAAAGATAGAATCAAACAAATTATTATCAAAAATCTCAACTTAATATATAGAACTCTTAAAAATACAGGAAGTTATGAAAAATAAATCAAGAAAGAAAGAAAAAATAGAGTGGAAAAATAAAAAAACAGACGAAAGAGAGAGAGAAGAAGATTTCGAAGTGTTAACATTAGTTCGTAAATATTATTATCTAGATGCAATATTAACACAATAAAGAAAGACCCTAAAGATATTAAATTTAAGAAAAAGAAAAAAAGAACGAAGTGCTTCACAACCCTGACGATTTTTAACATAGAAAAACCCTTTTCATGTAGGAGCTTTACAAGTTGTCTCTGTACTCATATTCGATTCAAACTCAACCAAATCCAATATACATAACACAGATAGAATACGAGAGATGCGGTTAAAATATCACTTTAGCTATAAAGTGACACACACTAACCAATAAGATCTAAACGGTGACACATGCAACAATAACACATATAAATTGACACATTTAACAATTTATATCTACTACGGTTGCCGGAGTTTTGGTTTGACTGCGAAAAGTATAAATTTTTACATATATAGTCCTCATATCTCTCACACTTAATATATTTTCCTTCCAAAAAATAAAATATCTATG